GTAAAATTTAACTTGGCGCCAGTTGATGATATCAAATCTTTTATACAAATGATACATATCATTAGTTCTACTAAACAGCAAACGTGATTAGTCATCAGTTTCACGGTCGATTTCAAATGATAATTCTGAACAAAAAAAATGTGCCAAATGGTAACATCTATGGATGAAGAATCTGAAGAACTTGATTCGGTTTCGGAATTATCAACCTCAACATCTATGCAATCTCAAGAATTAAGTTCTTGTACTTCAATGTGTACATCAGAAAGGAAAAGCCCCGTTTGCTCAACATCAAAGAATCCTTTGTCTAAGTTCCAAATACAGCCATGCATAGATAAAGCATTTCACAAAATCGAAACGTACCGTGGTAATTAAATAGAAGTCATGTAAAGAGTATACATCTAAGCTTATCATGCGCCTTATTTAAATTTTTTTATTTCAGACGGTGGTATGTTAGCGTTTAAGATTACAAATGGTATCCTGTATATGATTGCGATAGATAAACAGCCTTTTTCGATGGTCAAAGATGACGGATTCAGGAAATTTTTAAGTATCGTGGCTCCTCTATATACTGTACCATGTCGAAAAACTATCACAAAGCGTCTAGATGAAAAGTACGAGCTACTCAGTTCGAAAATCAGAACTATGCTTTCGAAGATCGATCATCTTTGTTTAACAACAGACATTTGGACAGAGCCGTTCAATACTCGGAGTTATATCAGCATAACTGTACATTACATCAATTTCAAAATTATGCAACTAGAAAATCTATCTTTGGGGATAAAGGAACTCGAAGAAAGCCATGATGGAAATTATATATCGAAAATTATAAGCGAAATATTAGATGAGTGGCATATTCAAATCAATTCAGTAGTAGCTGTAATTACAGACAACGCTTCTAACATCAAAAAAGCGGTACGGGATACGTTTGGACGCAAAAGACATATACCGTGTTTTGCTCATACACTAAATCTAGTTATCCAAGACGCAATCGCTACAACACCGGAATTCCAGGCTATAGTAAAAAAAGTAAAAAGTATTGTTACATACTTCAAACGCAGCGTTAAAGCGACAAATGCACTTAACGAGTTGCAGACTTCTAATCTTGAAAATGACCAGAATATTTTAAAATTAAAGCAGGGATGCGAGACACACTGGAATTCGCTTTTCTATATGATTAAAAGATTCATTCAATTAGCAAATCTAGTGAATACCGTATTACTCACTCTTCCACGAAAAAAGCATGATGATATACCAGAGATGACAACACACACCGATCTACAAATTTTGAAAGATATCTGTGCTATTTTGCGTCCAGTTGAACGCGTCATTATGGAGATATCGGGCGAGTTGTATGTCACTTGTAGTAAGATCATCCCTATCATTAATTGTCTGATAAGAACTTTGGAAAAACTCGACATTACTCATGAGATTTCAGAACGCTTTCATAAAAATGTTTTACTACAACTCCAAAATAGATTTCGAGGAAAGGACTCAAACATTGAAACAAACAGTTTTCTTTCTATATCTACTTTGTTGGATCCACGCTTTAAGAAGCTGCACTTTAGCAGTTCATTAGCGGTTTCTACAGCAATAAGCAAGATCTCCCAGTTAATGAAAAATAATCAAATAGAAACGCAATGTAATGTAGAAGAGAATATAAATATTCTTAGAAAAGAAGATCTTTGGAACATTCACGATGAATTAATAGCTTCTTCATCATTAAATTCTGACGAGCCTGGTGGCATACCAGTCGAACTTCGACAATTTCTTAATGCTAATGTCGTTAGCAGAAGTGAGGATCCATTCAAAATTTGGCAAAAATTGAAGGATGTTTATCCAATGGTGTATGAAGTTGCCATGAAGTATTTTGTGATTGTCGGAACATCAGTTCCATCTGAACGGTTGTTTAGTGCTGCCGGAATTATTATCAGCATGAAAAGAAGCAGAATTAAGGGGAAAAGAGCGTCGCAGATTATATTTTTAGGGTCTTTGCCTAAGAGATATTGGAAGTAGATACCAATAGAGATATTGGATACGAAATCAACGTAAAAATTTAAAAAAGTCATTTAAATTTCACTTTAATTCATAGTTTATTTTATAACAGTTCCTAGCTATTTATGCTTTTATTACTTTATTATAAAGAGTTGTAGTAAGCTATAAATATATTTCTTTGTAAGTGTTGATAATATAAAAAACTCTAAAGTATAGTAAGTACTATTATAATAAGTATAGTATATAAAGCATTATAAAGTATAGTAAGTACTATATATAAAGTCCTATATTTAAAGTATAGTACTTCCTATACTATAATACTATACATAAAATATCATATAAAGTATAGTAAGTAATAAAATTATAAAACATTTTATAGCGTATTAAATACATTCAGATTCTATTCCCACAACCTTTAAATTTATTAAAAGAAACCTTTAAATGCGTTCAATAATTCTTAATCGTATTTTATTTGAATTTTTGGACAATTAGTTCAAATGATACTCAATGTCCATTATTAATTGTCCTAAAAATAGGATTTATATATAAAATCTGTTTTCTTTTTTATTCTTTGAATACATTATAATGTTGTTCGTTTCACTTCAATAAGTTGAAGTAAAATAAACAAAAATGAAATAAAAATACATTTATTGTTTCATTTAAACTTATTGCATAGTGTGCATCAGTTCAGACAATACAAAAATATAAAATAATGTATTTACAGGATTGGCAGAATTTTTTTTTTAATTTTCAAGGATAAAACACTAGGCCAGTTTCACCAACGCCGATTAAAGCTGGGTTCCGCTATTACCGCCAGTACTGAAAATCTATAGTGCACGTAACGTATACTATAGATTTTCAGTACTGGCAGTAATATCGGAACACAGCCTAACTTTGTCACGAGAACTGCCAACAGTAAGACTTTAAATCTGTTTTATTTTCTAGTCTATTAATCGTAAGGAAAAAGTGTAACATGGATAATAAATTAAATTTTGAAATATAAATATATTTTGAGTGTTTTTACAAATATAACTTTTGTAACAAATTTGTTGTCAAGAAATTAGGTTAGAGATGATAAGTTTTCAGTTTAACAGTTGGTAACTCTCAAACTTAGGCTGCGTTCCGTTATTCACTGCGAGCACTGCAAATAGCATTTCATCTTTATTGTTCACCGAATATTAAACAAGAACAAAACGCTACTTCCAGTGAATAACGGAACATAGCCTTAATTGGCCGATAAATAACGGATGTTGATAAAATTGCGTTTTTTTTAAACTTCAAAAATACTTTAAACAATACTAAAAAATGTTAAAAATATTAAAAATCTCGATTGATCACGTTTTAAATTGTTTACAATATGTTTTTTTACTAACGCTGCCTATTTATATATTTTAGAATTTTTAATCGATTCTTCAGAATCGATTAATTTCAACCCGATAAATTAAATCGTAAATTCTTTTTTATGAAATTTAAATGATTACGATAATCGATTCTTTTTTTTAAATGTCGCATCACTAGTGTAAATATGGAAGTTCCAATTGAACGCATTTTTATGACAATAAATTCGTCAAGATAAACGTTCGGACAAGAGACGCATATGCGGCCATCTGTAAAGCTAGCCGCACACGATGCATGATTTCCTCCATAATGGACTTACATGCTGCTGTGCCTGCTCTGATGCATGCTGAACATCTTGGTGCATTGAGCGAAATATACTATCCTTGATTTCTGTGTTTGATATGGTGCATTATTTCATGCTCGTTTTCTTGCACACGCCAATCAAAACGTTAAGAATCACTCACGTGATTAATTGATGTCATGCATACCTATGTGAAATGTATAGGTTAAAACCACTACAGTTGCCACCTTCATGTGATGACGTTTATGCAGCGAACCGAGCGAAGTAACATGCATTGATCAGCATGCAAGAGAGTAAGCATGAAAATCATGCATCGTGTGCGGCCAGCTTTATGGCCGGTCGTAAACAAAGTTCTTTGTTTCGTCAGCTTGTCATTTGCACGTGTTTAACGAAATCAAGGTAATTATATATATTTCCTTCAGAGAATAGTTTACTAATAGATATGTCGTAAAAAAAAGAACATTTTGTAATGTTTAACTCGAAAAAGATAGGTGATTACTTTTAGGTTCTGATTTTTCTCATACATATCCAATTTTCGCTCAGTCAAGTAACACATAACCTATCTTGTAGAACCTATCTTGTAGCTTATTTTACTATTTTTATAAGATCTATTTATTTTCCTAATTAATATTCAAAAAATTGTATAAAATTGAATATATAAACAATATATTTATCTTTTTAGACCGTATATGTGAGAAACACAATCAATACTAGAAATTTAAATGCCTATTACGGTCGGAGCAGGATCTTCGTTGCTTTAAATAATTCGATCTTGAATTACTAATATATATTATATATGTACTTGCATATATTAGTCTTATATACCATATTTTAGTCTTATATGTATATATGTATATATATAATATATATACATATGGGTCATTCTCCGTCAACCGGAGAAGCCCCCTGACCAAAATTGGTTTCAGTAAAACAAATAAGTAAAACAAATAAGTAAAGGCTTAAAATTCGTGAAAAAATATGAACTTTCGAATACCGTGTGCTGTTTTTCACTAATCAAAATGGCGGATCCAAGATGGCGGACCAAATTCGGAAAATGTTGCTTAATCGAGATGAAACTGGGTACTCTGGGGTTTTCGGGGTCGCTGATTACGAATATGACGTCAGATTTCCAAAATTTGCAATGGCGGATCCAAGATGACGGACCAGATTCAGAAAAAGTTGCTTGATCGAGATGAAACTGAGCACTCGGAGGTTTTCGGGGTCGCTGATTACGAACATGATGTCAGATTTCCAAAATTCCAAAAAACGTAACTAACGTTCGTATGCCTCGGTCGCAGTTCGCTTCGAAAGATCACTTTCATATGCGCTACTATATATGGTATAAATGATACGTGATGTTAAGCTTTCTTAAGTACTAATTGAAAATCCATTTTTCTAACGGGCGTGAAACGCAGGGCGGCGATGATTACGTCCGCGACTAACGGCAGCAGGAGTAACTACACGGAGAGAATATCTAGAGAATAACTACACTCCGTATGTTTATAACGACGCATACGAACGTTTGTTTCGTTTCTTGAGTTTTTTGAACGTTTACTAAAATAATCAATATTTTTGCAACAAACAAACAACACAAATAACACAATTTTTACTTGTCGATAAATAGGATGCTGACAATGTAAAATATACTTGTCTTTGGCGGATAGTGTAAAATATGTTCCTTACGTAGGTGCCTGCAAATATATTGTAAAATACGTTCCTGGCGTAGGTGCCGAGTCCTGTAAACGGTAATACCGCCACGTGGTACAGGATGGATAACGCTAAATCACCATTTTTAAATAATATGCTTAAGTTTTGCATTATTTCAGAAATGAGTAACCCACAAATATCTCCGAAAACAAATACCAGTTTTCACGAAGATTTGCACATTTTTTATCATTTCGATCCGCTATATTGTATCCGCCATTGCGAATTTTGGAAATCTGACGTCATATTCGTAATCAGCGACCCCGAAAACCCCAGAGTACCCAGTTTCATCTCGATTAAGCAACATTTTCCGAATTTGGTCCGCCATCTTGGATCCGCCATTTTGATTAGTGAAAAACAGCACACGGTATTCGAAAGTTCATATTTTTTCACGAATTTTAAGCCTTTACTTATTTGTTTTACCTGAAACCAATTTTGGTCAGGGGGCTTCTCCGGTTGACGGAGAATGACCCATATATTTATATATAAATTTATATAAATTTATATATATATACACATATATAAATTTGATTTAAAGATATGAAAAAAGATTTAACTTCGATAAAGTTTTTTTATTTGTTGTTTTTTATTCTATTATTAATTTTATTCTATTAATAATGTGGAAATTATATATTAATAGTAATCGGTTGTAAAAATATATTAATTTAAGTATTATATTAAAAATACGGAAATTATGTTTAATTAATTAGTAATATATTGTAATTTCCATATTTTATTTATTTCAAATATATGTAACATTATCAAATATATGTAACAATATATTGAAAAATATACATAATTATTTCAAAAAGTGGATGTCATTATTGAGTTCTTAGTCTTTTTATGTAACAAAGTATCTATGATCAGAATCTAGTTCTTGACCTGATCAGAAATTGATTCTGTGAGTAAAATGGCTGATCAGAAATTAGTTCCATGTAACTCACGGCTATTTTATCTCATTATTAACGTAATTATGGCTATTATATCATTTTTCCAAATGCAACTTAAAGTTGGAATGTTGATCTATCGTTTGAAAACAAAAAAGTTTGTATTTTTTTCTTTTATTGGGTTTAAACATTGAGGGCAACACGGAAGTGCTCCTTAACTGATCACAAACTAGTGCCTTGACAGTAATTAACATTTTATTTTAAAAAAAATTGAGAGAAAAAGGGCTACGAGCCTAAGAGTTAGTCGTTAGTTAATATAAATTAAAAAAAAACACAATATAAATATGTCATTTAGTCAGAATATAAAACTTTAATGTGCCGGTAATAAACAGTATAACATAAACAACAAACGTTTCGATCCCTGTTGGATCATTATCAATGTTAAATATACAAAAATAAAACGGTAAAAATATTACAAAGTTAAAATTTAAAAAAATTACAATTCGCTCTCAATCGCAAGTAAAAATATAATAAAACTCACAGTATTTAATATAATAAAATTCGCTCAGAATGAGTTGGAAGTTATGTGAACGTTGTAATAGGAAACAATAAATGCTTCTAGTTATCAGTTGTAAAATAAAAATAATTCGTATCTGTTAAAAAGAACATAAATATTTTAAACATATAATATTGAGTATATAAAATAAAACGCAAAGTATACAAATATAATATATGAGACAAAGAATAAAATTAAAAATTGACAACCAAAACGTATTCTAAGATTTAACAAG